ATCAAGGCATGGCCGGCTGTTGAGTCGACCAGGTTATCAATTTTAGGCAAAGGGTAACTGTCTTTGGGGCACGCCTTGTTTAAGTCTGTGTAGTCTACACACATTCGCCAGGTGCCATTCGGCTTTTTAACAAGCACCACATTTGCAACCCAGTCTGGGAAGTAACATTGCCGAATGAACCCTGCATCAAGTAATTTTTTAACTTCGGCGGCTGCCGCCTGACTTCTTTCTTCGCCATGGTTCCGCTTCTTTTGCCGTACCGGCTTCTTTTTCGGATCCACGGCCAGTTTATGTACCGCCAGATCAGGACTAATGCCTGGCATTTCATGGACTTCGAATGCAAAGATGTCCTTGTATTCTTTCAATAGGTTGTGAAAGTTGTCACCAAGGTTTCTCAGAGCAGTCATCCCAACTTTGACTGTTCGGTCAGGACGTGAGTCGTCTAAGATCAGGTCCGCATGCTCACCAGCCGGCTGAGGGCGGAACTCATCCGGCCGCTCCTCTGCCAATGATTGCTATTTTCTTGCTTTTCTTGCGGCCCCTGCCTGGGATGCCTTTCTCTTTTTGCCGCCTGCTTCTTGAACAGGCGCACTCTCCTTGTCAAGGTCTGTTTTTTCACCGCTTGACCCAGTAGCCATAACAGTGGGCTTGACATCCGAGAGATAGCACTCTCGGGCCATCCTCTGATCTCCCCTTAGGGAGCCGACTGTTCCATTATCCCTCTCAAACTTGAGCAACATAAGAGATGGGATTATAACAGCCTTGGAATTATTCAGGGTAGGTCGACCCAGAATCATGTTGTAGGCCGAGAGTTCCTCTACTACCAGGAACCGGACTACCATGTGTCGTCCTTTCCCTTTTTCGCCCAGGCGGATGGGTAAATCTACTCGTCCCAGTGGGTGGACGACTCCTCCTCCAAACCCTACTAAAGGGTGGGAGGCCGGATGTATGCAATCAGTCTGATATTTTAGTTTCGACAGACATTTGCTACTGATGAGATCTGAGGAGCTTCCGGTATCTATGAGGATTCGGCCAACTCTCTGGTTGGCCACTTTACATTCAATAACGAGAGGGTCGTCATGCGGCCCCCTTACCCCTCCTAGATCTTCTTCAGTGATGACAATCTCAGGAAATGAATATTTGGACGACCGTTCTTGGTGAACGGAATTTACATCTAACCGCCTGATATTGTCTTTGTTACCCCTAATAGTGGGGCCCCCTCCTGAGAAGCCGCCTGCAATGGTGTAGACGACTGCATCATCTGTATCAGAGCTGTCGGCCTGCTGATGCTTTTTGGCCGACTGCTTTTTTGAGGAAGTGTTCCCCGTAGATTTCTTGACATAAGTGTCAAGCTCACCTTGCTCAGCCAGGCGGTCTAGGTACCGCATGAGACTGATGCAGTCATTGATGTGATGACCAACATCATCATGATAAGCACATAATTTATCTTGGTTCCGGTTGTTTGCAGAACCCTTCATTGAGATCCGTCCCTTGATTTCTTTTAGGATAAACTGGTTATCCTTGTTAAACGCATACTTTGGGGAGTATGGTTTGAATTCTTTTTTCTTTTTCTGGGCCGGCTGTTTAGAGGAATCAGCCGCCCAGACCTCTTTTCTTTTCTCATCTTTGTTAGACGACTGTTTCTGTCGTCCTTCTCTTTTGTCGAACCTTTTCCCGTCCGACTGTTTTATCGTACAAAGATCAGTCGCCTGTATATAGGCTTCTGCTTCAATCAAGGCTTCTTGAAGAGTCGCCACCCTTTTTCGAACCAAATCAAATTTGAAGGTAGACCCGTCTTTGAGACCTCTGAAAAAGTCAGTATAAGCTACCTCATCCGGTAACCCTTGAATCTGTATTCTCATCAGGTTAAACCGCCTGATGTAAGAACGAAGCCCCTCCTTCTCGCCCTGCTGAATTGTTCCCAAATCAAGGGTCGTTTTCTTCGCAGGGATGTTCATGGCGAAGTTGGAGGCAAATAAGTAAGCAAGCGTCCTGAAGCTTTTTACACAACCAGTCGGCAAGTTGCCGAACCATTGCTGTGCGATTCCTTTGAGAGTCGCTGGGAAACACTTGCACCAAGTGGGATCATCCAACCCTTGAAGGTACATCAGGTTGGTGAATGCCATCAGATGGTCTTCTGGGTTAGTAGTGCCGTCATAGGCGCCTACTAGTACATTTTTCACTTTGGCCGGCTGAGCGGCTTCAGTAATTTCCTTGGAGAAGGCCGACGGCTGTTCACCAAGTCTAAGCAATCGTAGCTGCCAGTCCATAGGTTGGACGTTTTTTGCTGCAGGTCCACCAAACGGAGGTGGCTGCAAAAAATACTGTTGTTGCGGCACAAATGGTAAGTTTGGTACCGCCTAATCGCTATGAAAGCCGGACTGACGGGAGGTGCCGCCTGACTGACTCTCATGATACGACTGAGTATGCCTCATCGAGGCATTTCGCAAACTGTCTTGAAAGTTTGAAGTAGAGGCCGACTCTGACAATCGGTCACTCTTCTTCTGCTCTAGCAGTAGCCGAGCATCTGTGAATGTTTGCTTCGACCCGTCCGCCTGAATATGACGAACAGGTTTCCTATTTCCTGTAGGATAACGGAATTTTGTGAAATCAAGGGCAGGTGGCTCCCGCTTCCTAGATTTAGGATGAGGAGTCGCCTCTCGCCCTTGAGCTGACTTCCTCTTCAGTGAAGTGGAGGGTTTCTTGGCCGACTGCTCCTTGACTGGAGCAGGCGGCTTCTTGTTGATCAACTCTTGAATCTCTCCCTTGAAGTCCCTCATGAAGGTCATGAGTTCGTTCCTTGTGATGGGAGCAGACCCATCAGTCGGCTGTTGCCGAACAGGCGGTGCGCCTGCTGGCTCGCTTCCTGTTTGAAGATGCTCCCGTTCCCTCCTTTCGGTATGACGGGTACGTCGGGCCCTTAGGGTCCCATCTGAAGCTGTATGAGCTTCAACTTCAAATTCACTTTCGGTATCATGGTCCGACTGAACTTGAGGGTCGTCTAGGGGACTCCTCTCTTCAGGAATCGGTACAGACTTGGATGCCATCTCAGAAGTACTCTCCCCATAGACGGCGCCAAATGTTTCGGGGTTTTCTGATGTCCTGCGGGAGAGTTACAATTCCGAGACTGGAACCGGACGCCTGTACCTGCAAAATAACGGAGACTCCTGTGAGCTCCGCCTCCAACGGTCAAGTTAGTACCTGATTAAGGAGTAATTAATGCTGAAATTAAAGTGATTTGGTCTCTCTAGGGGAGAGTGTTTAATGTAGGTAATCTGCTTTGTTAGCGAGATCAGCCGGTTATTACTGTGCGTAATTAATGTGTTTTTTCCGTAATGTTTCCGTTCTATCTTTTTTGTAATCCCCTTAATGAGGATTAAGGGAGGTATTTATAACCTTGGGAAACGTGCCCATCCTAGGTTTAGGTAAACCTAGGGCCGATTGGGCTTCCCTCGGAAGTTGGGCCTGGGTGGCCGGTTCCTCCATTAGGCATGGAGTATGCCACATGTCTTGACATAACAGGTCCAAGGTGGACGAATAAGCGCGTGCCACGTGGGAAGCCCTGACTGTTCCAACTGGGGGACACTTGGCAGGACCTGATTGGTCCACGTGGCGCATTCCGATTGGTGGGAGCAAAATCCCCTAATCAAATGATATTCTAAATTATATATCTATGTTTTAAAGTAATTTTGATTGATTTCTAAATTACATGTCAATGTTCTAAAGTATTTCTAATTATGTTCTAATTTATTATTATAATGTTCTAAAGTATTTAAGTTGTTACATGCAAAATTTGCGCAAAATAAATGGTTCACATTACTTGAAAAATATTCTGGTATCTCATACTCATCCAACCCCAATCTCATATTATAACATTGCCAAAAATTATGTTAATAAAAGAATATGAGTTATAATATAATCATGTTATATTATAATTGTAAACATAAGAATATAGAGAATAATTGGACAAAAAATAATATGCCATTATGTTCTCAAAATAATAATAAAATTTATATAAAAAAAATTTACACAAAATTTTTTCCATGTGCTATTTCCTAAAAATAAAATATCCCATGCGGTTGTATGAATAGCATAGTCAACCTGAAAAAAAAAATTAATAATTAGAACATAAATACATTATAAATTTTAGAACATATTTGATGCATTTTAAAACATATACAAAATGTTTAAATTAAAAATTCAAAGTTTTAAGTTTAAAACTCAAATTATTTATATAATATGTTTTAAAGTATTTTTATTATGTTCTAAAGTTTTCCCTTATGTTCTAAAGTTTTCTATTATGTTTTATTATATTTTTCCCTTATATTATAAAGTTTTCTATTATGTTCTAATGTTTCTATTGTGTTCTAAAAATTTCTATTTTGTTCTATTATATTTTTTCCTTATGTTCAAAAGTTTTCCCATATGTTCTAAAATATTTCTATTATGTTCTAAAGTTTTCCCATATGTTCTAAAGTTTTCTATTATGTTCTAAATTATTTCTGTTATGTTCTAACATTTTCTATCCATATGTTCTAAAGTATTTCTATTATGTTCTAAAGTTTTCCCTTATGTTCTAAAGTTTTATATTATGTTCTATTATATTTTTTCCTTATGTTATAATAAAATCATGTTATATTATAATTGTAAACATAAGAATATAGAGAATATTTGGACAAAAAATAATATGTCATTATGTTCTCAAAATAATAAAAAAATATAAAAAAAAATTTACACAAATTTTTTTTCATGTGCTATTTCCTAAAAATAAAATGTCCCATGCGGTTGTACGAATAGCATAGTCAACCTGAAAAAAAAATAATAATTAGAACATAAACACATTATAAATTTAGAACATATTTGATGCATTTTAAAACATATACAAAATGTTTAAATTTAAATTCAAACATATTTGATGCATTTTTTTCTTATGTTCTAATTAGTAATAATTTTAATTTATTACTAATTAGAACATAAGAAAAAAATATTTACTTACAATATCACTTGACTTTCCCTGGACAATTACGACTATCATGGTGACCAAGCTCTCCACATGCTCTACATAATCTTTTTTTTTTCTTTTGACTTTGTTTAACAGCTTTTTCTCTGTCACTCTTCATTCTCTTGTTACTATTTGGAACATGGGTATCATTTGGAACATTAACTTGATTTGGAACATGAACCCCTGTACCTTTGTTTTTTGAAATTTTTGGAGCTTTGATCAAAACTTCAGAAGGTAAACTAGCTCCAATAAGCATTTCAATGTCTTTAATTTTGCTACAAAAATTGTTGCTTCTATTTGTTGCTTTCTTCTGTTCCAAATCTATTCTCATGGCTCGAAGTTTTTTGACAAGATCACTTAGATCATCTTCATTGTTTTGCACTAAACTCACACAAGCATGAATTTCACACCACAAAAAAAATAATAGCATCTTTTTATCTACTGCATTAAGACATTCCTCTAAAACATTACCCTCTAAATAAAAAATGGGCTTCTTATAAGCCATTGTACACCATCTATTTAGAACGTAAGTCTTGGGAATTTTTTCTAACATCCTTGCTTTCCAAACCCAAATCATATGCCTACAAGGCACACCATCACGTTCAAATTTTTTACAAAAACACTTGGTATCTAAGGTAGTTGGATCAAAAACAACATCAAAAGCCCTCCTCCTAGATCCTTCCCTTAATTTGAAAATGTAAATCTCATTGTCCTTTTTCATCTCCTCAGCACCACAATTAAAACATCCAATTTCAAGCTCATATTGAAAATCATAAAAAATTGTTGTTGTAAACAACTCGGAAACATCTTTTTCTAAAGGAATTGGACTCTTACACTCTGGACGCTTGTTCTTTGAATCATTATCCATTTTATTTTGAGTGTGCCTTTGAGCATCCAATGCACATTCAAACCTATAAAAAATAAAAATTAACTTTAGAACATAGAAAATAACTTTAGAACATAAAGTGAATTACATTATAACATATTAAAATAATACACATGATCTAAATACTATTAAAACATTAAACTAAAACTTTAAAACATGTAAGACAAAATTTATAAAATAAAAGAGAGTTGAAAAAAATGGTAAAACTATAAAATAAAAAAATAAAAAAATAAAAAAACTTTAAAGCATTAAAGAGAGTTGAAAAAAAGTTATTCTTATTATGTTCTAAAGTTTCCCATATGTTTTAAAGTATTTCTACTATATTCTAAAGTTTTCCCTTATGTTGTAAAGTTTTCTATTATGTTCTATTATATTTTCCCCTTATGTTCTAATGTTTTCTATTATGTTCTAAAGTTTCTATTATGTTTTAAAAATTTCTAAAAATAAATTTTTTTCCATGTGCTATTTCCTAAAACTATAAAATAAAAGAGATTTGAAAAATATGGTAAAACAATAAAAAAAAAAAAAAAAAGGTTTAAAGCGTTAAAGAAAAACTTTTGAACATAAAGGTTAAAATTAGAACATATTTAGACATTTACATATTACCTCATGTAAAACTCAATCAAAGTGAGATGGGGATTTGTGAACATAGTGAAAAAATTATTTTCACTTTCGGATCTAGATGTGGTCCTCATGATGCCACCTAAAAATAAATCTCTGAAATACGCTGGAATCCACATATCACGTATGTTGAACATGTGTGCCAACCACTCATGATCGTTCAAATTGAATTCTGAAATAACTTTGTTCCACTTTTCTTCAAATTCTGCTGGCTCAATCTCTAAATGCCAAACACATGCACAAAGTTTTTTCAAAAAATCAGTTTCTTGGGTAATTGCCCGACCTACTTTTTCAGGCACCTTTTTCATAATATGCCACATACAAAACCTATGTTCTGTATTTTGAAAAACATTACGAACAACAACTTTCATTGCAGGGTCTTGATCGGTAATCAAACACACAGGCTCGTTATTTCCCATTGATTTAAGAAAAGTTTTGAAAGCCCATTCGAAAGATGATATATCTTCATGAGCTACAAAAGAAGCCGCAAAAGTAACACATTTCTTATGATGATCAACTCCAGTAAATGGACCAAAGATCATATTATATCTGTAACATACACAAATTATATATATAGAAAATATTAGAACATAAGGATTAACTTTAGAACATAAAGGTAAATTGTGTAGCATAAAGGTATACTTTAGAACATTAAGGATAAACTTTAGAACATAAAGGTAAATTGTGAAGCATAAAGGTATACTTTAGAACATTAAGGATAAACTTTAGAGCATAGAAATTTAATTTAATTATTAAACTTGCCAATATTTTAGAACATAAGGCATCTATGTTTAGTATATCAGCAATATATGTTTAGAACATTAGCAATATATGTTTAGAACATAAGACATACATAATTTAGAACATAAGAAATATATGTTTAGAACATCAAAACATGATAGATATTAATTTAGGAACATAAAAAAATCTACATTTAGAACATCACCTGTTTGTTTGGAACGTTGTATCAAAAGAAACCATATCACCAAAAAGTGCATAATTTTTTCGACAAATAGGATCAGCCCATAAAGCTCTACAAAGTCTACCTTCTTCATCAACATCATAGTAAAAAAAAAGGCACTCCAAAGCAATTTCTTATTTTGAAAGTTATCCACAAACATTTGAGCATCTGATCTAGCAATATAAGCCTTCAAATCTCTATAAAAGTTTTTGAAATCTTGTTTAGATGTACCAACATTATCATGTGATCCAGCTAATTCTTTCATCATTGTATAAGACCTCACAGGACCAACATTTACCTGTGTACAAAAACAAAGAGAAAAAAAAATTACTATGATTAAAGATCAACTTTAGGACAAAGAAAACAATATTTGGCACATAAAAATAAATCACCTTTGAATTATCAACAATCAACTTCTTATGCATAATATGCATTTTTCTATTATCCTTTTGAAATTTTGCACAACTTGGAGTATATAAACAATGATTATGTTCTTCTTTGAATTGACTAACAACATACTTTCCAGCATCATATCTCATACATATGTGAGTATTGCATCCTACACGAGTGACTTAACGTTTCCTAGTAATACAAACTTTTCCTTCTTCATCAACGGTTTGTTGAGCAATAGGTTTTTTTGTTGCCTTGAAACCTTCCTTATTACAAACTCCATATTGAAAAGCAATTATATCTTTGTTATTCTTCTTCCTTGTAGTAGTAGATTTCCTAGAAGTAAACCCAGCGGCATTTGCATAGGCTTTATAAAAACTAAGACCCTCTTCGGGATCTTTGAATATCATCCCCAAACGAGGTTTTAACTCTTCGGGAACACTTGGAATCCATTCCTTAGTGGTACCACCAGGGCTAAATGATCCAACAACTTCAGGAGTACGATAAATAACACCAACTGCATTAGAACATAAAAAGAAAAAAAAATTAAGAACTTACAATAAAAGTCATTAAATATGAAGAAAATATTGGAACATTAAGAATAAACTTTAGAACATAAAGAGAAAGAGAAACATACATAGAAAACTTTTGAACATAATGAAAAAAGTTTAGAACATTAAGAATAAACTTTAGACCATAGTAAATTACTTTATAACATACATAATAAAATTTAGAATAAAGTGAAAAAATTTAGAAAATAAAGAATTACTTTAGAACATAACTAGAAATTTTTTTGAATATTAAACAAATTTTGAACATAATCAACAAATTTACAAAATTACTTTAAAACATGTAAGTAAAGTTTAGAACATTTACCATAAAGTTTAGAACATGTAACTAAATTAAAATAGAATAAAGTGGAAAAGTTTAGAACATAATGAATTACTCTTGAACATTACCATAAATAATTTAGAAAATTAAAACAACTTTTAAACATAATCCACAAATTCACAAAATTACTTTAAAACATACAACTAAGTAAAATTTAAAACATGTAAGTAAATTGAAATTAAAGTATTAAAACTATGAAAATTACCTGAATGAGAAACAACAGAAGAAGGAGAATTATCTTGAAAATCATCTAAATCCATGAATATGCCAAAACATAATTATCATAAATACAAATTGTAGTAAAAAAATAATCTGAAATTACTTATAGAAGAAAAAGGTAATTAAAGTTTATGTATTATTTTTCCCTTATGTTCTAAAGTTTTCCCTTATGTTCTAAAGTATTTCTTTTATGTTCTAAGATTTTCTATTATGTTCTAAAGTATTTCTATTATGCTATAAAGTTTGCTATTATGTTCAAAAGTTTTCTATTATGTTATATTATATTTTTCCCTTATATTCTAAAGTATTTCTATTATGTTCTAAGATTTTCTATTATGTTATAAAGTATTCTACTATGTTCTAAAGTTTTCTATTATGTTCTATTAGATTTTTCCCTTATGTTCTAAAGTTTTCTATTATGTTCTAATGTTTCTATTATGTTCTAAAAATTTCTATTACGTACTTTAGAATATATGGGAAAACTTTTGAACATAAGGGAAAAATATAATAGAACATAATATTATATTTTTCCCTTATGTTCAAAAGTTTTCCCATATGTTCTAAATTATTTCTATTATGTTCTAAAGTTTTTTATTATGTTTTATTATATTTTTTACTTATGTTCTAAAGTATTTCTATTATGTTCTAACATTTTCTATCCATATGTTCTAAAGTATTTCTATTATGTTCTAACACTTTCTATCCATATGTTTTAAAGTATTTATATTATGTTCTAAAGTTTTCCCTTATGTTCTAAAGTTTTCTATTATAGTAAAAAAAACAATTTGAAATTAAAATCCAATAATAGAAAAACTCAAGCAAGAAAAAAAAATCTTGAAAAAAAAAATTGAAAATGAAAACTAGAAACTTAAAAAAAAGCGAAAAAATTAGGGAAAAAACAGAGAAAAAAATTGAAAAATAAAAAATTGAAATCGAAAAAAAACGAAAAATAAAAATAAAAAACTTGAAAATGAAAATCGAAAAAAAAATGGAAAATCGACAAAAAAATGGAAAATATAAAAAACAAAATGGAAAATCGAAAAAAAAATTGAAAATAAGAAATCGAAAAAATGGAAAATCGACAAAAAAAAAAACTGGAAAATAAAAAAAAACTTGAAAATAAAAAATAAAAAAAAAATGGAAAATCGACAAAAAAAAAAAAAACTGGAAAATAGAAAAAAAAAGAAAATCGAAAAAAAATCGTAAAAAAATTTGAAAATAAGAAATCGTAAAAAAGTGGAAAATCGACAAAAAAATCTGGAAAATAAAAAAAAAACTGGAAAATAGAAAAAAAATGGAAATTCGAAAAAAAAATCGTAAAAAAATTGAAAATAAGAAATCGAAAAAAATGGAAAATCGACAAAAAAAAAACTAGAAAATAAAAAAAAAAACTGGAAAATCGAAAAAAAGAATCGAAAAAACAACTTGAAAATAAAAAATCGAAAAAAAAATGGAAATTCGAAAAATATACTCTTAAACATCGAAAAAAAACCAAAAAATCAAACTTTAAATCGCAAAAAAAAAATCAACATAATCGAACCAAAAATCAACTTAAAATGGCAAAAAAAAATGCAAAAAAAATAAAATTAAATAAACTTACCAAGTTCCTTGAGGTAGAGGAGAGAGAAGTGAGAAAATACTGAGGAGAGAGAAAATGCTAAGGAGAGAGATTTAGGGTTTTTTTTGTTTAAAGTGTGAAAAAAAGTTATAAAAATTACAAAAATGCCATTACTAAAGGGGTATTTTAGATGGTTAGATCAAAATCATTGAATGGTTGAGATGAGTTCTTATATAAGATTGGATTCTTATATAGAAGAGGGTTCTTATATGAGCCTTCCTATATATATATATATATATATATATATATATATATATATATAGAAGAGGGTTCTTAGTGTTGTAGTGTATAAATTATTAGAATATTTATTTGGTGTGTTTGGTTTGGAGGGAGGGGGTACAGTAGAGTTTTGAGTGAAGGTATTGTATTGAGACTTAGCTTTGGGACTTTGGGAGTGGGTACATGGGAAAGTTATAGTAAATGCGTTCAATTTTTTGATGGGTAAGAAAATACTCAAATTTTACTTTGACAGTATGTGATAGTAGTATCTACACTTATAAGTATTTTTTTTTTTTGAAGATACACTTATAAATATTGACAAGCTAATATTTATAATGGATGTGTGGTTCCGTAGCAATCACAAAAAATTGACCATATTCTTTTTTCATCTAGATTCATTTACAATTTGGGTGAAGTAAGGAATGAATTTGGCTATATGTTGTAGCAAGACTAATATATACTCATCTCTAATTTATTTCAAATATTATAAACCTTTTTTTAATTGAGTTGTTAATGGATCAAGAAGCTATGAATATTCCTGGTGGAGAATTGCAGAGACTTGCATTAGATTTTTTCTTAGGCATGGTAATTAAACCTTTTTACTGACGCATGTGGATCACATTTAAGTATTTTTTATTCCCTTTTGAAGAGAGTTAGCTCTCTGGATATCACATGGATGGTCCCATCTAATATCAGCCTAGCTAGGATTAACAAGTTATCCACTTAGGACTGGGAGCATAAATCTATAAGAATAACTGAACTTTTTATTACTCAATTGATTAATTTTGTTCTAACCCAGGTTTGCTCATCTACTCTAGTAATATTAGTGTTGTTATCTAAATGTGCCTCACTGTTGGTGCTAGTCTATGGTATGATTTCGGAGGAATAACTTAGCATTTGTAGTATTTGGCAGAGGATTTTATGTGTCGGTTCCTTGGTTTTTGGTAGACTGTGGCTTTTTGGGCTCTTTGTATAGCGTAGGGTTATAAATAGAAAAAAAAATTGTAATTCCTGTTTTTACAACAGTATGCTTATAAGATATTATGATCGTCTCTATTCGGGATGAGTAAGTGATTTTACTCTAATTAGTGTGATAAACAAACCTTATGCACGTTTTCTTTTGTTGAATATGTATTTTTTTTCTATAGTGTTTGGGCTAATTTGTTATGTTTTCTTATTATTACAGTCAATCACCACGTTTCTGAGCTGTGTTTCATTTTGCTAATTTGTGATGTTGCTTACCGGATACAAGCTGTACTTAATCTCTAACTCAACTAGGTGGGATTTGAGTAAAAGAAGATAGATTCAATGGACAAGGTATGAATTTGTCTTTACGTACAATTTTTATGCTAAAACATAAATCATGTTGATATACTATAAGCTTATATATGGTACTGAAGAGCAGAATATCCTTGTGTGCATTTGATCTCTATATGCTAAAACCTACTTATTATGGTGCATATTGGCACATTTTTTAACAATTTATTTCATTCTCCATGGATTCCAGAAAGTTCAATTAGTTTGTTAAGTCTATCCATATGTCTTGGAAAGTTTTCTAACTTGGTATATTTTTTGTATAGTTTCCAATGCATTAGTGTTTTGGAGCAGGGGTGCTGTGACGGTGCTGAGATCAAGGTATCTAGATTTTTTCTTTCTTCCTTTTATTGACATAATGAATGTCTGTTTTATAATT